GACTGCTAGTGAATGCTACGGCTACACCCGCAGACTTACAACAATCTAACACTATCTGACTGCTAGTGAATGCTACGGCTACACCCGCAAACTTACAACACTCTAACACTATCTGACTGCTAGTGAATGCTACGGCTACACCCGCAGACTTACAACACTCTAACACTATCTGACTGCTAGTGAATGCTACGGCTACACCCGCAGACTTACAACACTCTAACACTATCCTCAAATCATACAGCTGCCTGGGCTGTCTCCCTTTCTGACAAGGATGTGAAACTTAACCCAGTTTCAAAACTACTCCTACCTCTAAATCCTCGGATGATTCTCCCCCACTTTGATTCAACTAACGTCTTACAGCACACAATACTGGAAGGATTCTCAATCCTTCTTACCATTCTATGCGCAATCTGTTGAACACCACGCTTACCATTGCTAGTGTGCCAATACTAACCAGTCCAAAAGGATTCTCAATCCTTCTTACCATTCTATGCGCAATCTCGTCGAGTCGGTCACTTAACCTTGCACATGGATCCCGCTCCGACTCGCCGAGTCTTTCCTTGGACTCGACGAGTTGACTCCTTTGACTTAGGGATTTCCTTTCCTTTCTTGGTCTTTCTGATTCTAGGTGTTACACATCGAATCGAAGGGAACAAAAGAAAAAGCTCAAACAATTTTAACAAAATCAAAAGGTGTCTCTTATCACTAAGACATGGACATCGTTACATAATTTTAACTATATATGTATTACCGCCCATTGGAAAAAAAAAGTTATGTGACCACTTGTTAATTAATGAACACTGAAGGATCATAAAACTCTCAAAGTGCCTACATTTTGTGTAACGACCTAAAAACCAGGATAAAATTTTTCATTTTAAAACAAGAGTTACTATCATCACATTGTTCCAAAACCATCACATAACAATAATGTCAAATCATCAGAGTACAATATCAAAAGTGCGGAAAATAGTGAGGAGTGAATGTTGTGTCATCACGTCAGGCTCTTCCCCTTAGTACCGGAAGTACCTGAAACCACAAATATAAACTGTAAGCAAAAGCTTAGTGATTTTCCCCAAAGTACCACATACCAAAACATAAATAAGATAGTGCTATGGGCCAAACCATAGTCTTAGAAGCAATTTCCAGCTTAGGGCCAAATCTCGGTCTTCCGTACAGTTGTCTGGGGCCAGATCCTCGTCTTTCACACAGATGTCAGGGGCCATATCCTGGTCTTTCATACAGTTGTCAGGGGCCAAATCCTGGTCTTTCATACACATATCTCAAATATAGCTAACACACTATATCACAAATAAAGGGCCGGCCTTGGTGCCTTCGACCCATTGATACAGTGAGAAAACTCACCTCAGTCCGCTGATAAATAACTAACTGCTCGGCTATCGAACCGGAAGATCCCACACTGAACATACACAAATTACCCTAATCATACATAGGTTATAAACCATAATCGTGGGCCTAGACCCCAAGTCCAAACTCCTAAGATAAAGGCTCATTTACCTTTCCCATAATGGGCCTAACCAACATTGGCCCAAAAACACAATAATGGACTCCAAGGCCCAAAAGGCCCAACTCAAGCAACTTAAGGCCCACTAACAGAGTTCCGAGGCCCACCTACTCTAAACAGGCCAAAAGCCTAAAAACTAGCTAAGGCCCAACCACAGTCCAAACCCCACTTAGAGGCGTACGCTCGGCATACACGTTGTACGCTCGGCGTACTCGTCCGCCTGCCAGTACGCGCTGCGTGCCCCTTGGTACTCTCAGCTTACTGAGCTACTTGCGAACTTAAGCCATTTGGTGCTTAATCCTTGCAGCCATTCGATCCAACTTTCAAATCTCGACCATTATGGGGTTCTAAGACATAAAGTTGGCAACTTTATGCCTTAGCATGTCCTAATGGAACCCAACATCCATTTTTGTCCAACAAAACTCACATTAAGGGCTTAAATTCATGCATGGACTCATATCAACCATTAATATGACATTTTTATGCATCTAAAACATCAAAGGGACTGAGATCTAACACCTCTAACTTCTGGAGTTGCCCAAACTCATAAAAAGAACCCATGGGACCAAGTAAACTCATAAACAAGCCCTAAACTCTAACAATCAAAATGAATCATCAAAGTAAGAACTTTTTACCTTCAAAAGCTTCCAAAGTTGATGAAGACTCTAGATCTAGAAGCTCAACCTCAACAAATGTTTGGTCTCCAAGTTCCTTCTTCTTGAATACACACTAAAATGCCACAAAATCACTTCCAAGCTCAAGAACACTCAAAGGGGGTGAACTAGGGTTAGATGGGACGTAATAAACAGTGGAGGCTGATGAGGGTGAGTGTCCAAAGACCATAATGTTGTTTAAATAGGGCTTATGCCCTAAAAATTAGGGTTTAGTCTTTGGCTACGTACGCCCTGCGTACACCACGTACGCTCAGCGTACGTGGCTGCGCCCCCAATCCAAAAGCGTGCATGTACGCTAAGCGTACCTAAACGTACGCCCAGTGTACGAGGGGACCATTTTCGCAAAAATTTCAAACTTCAAGGACCAAAGAGGAAAATACCTGGAATCGAATGTTACATTTTGCTACTAGTATTTTGTTTTCATAATTACACTACAAGTTAGTACAACATTTTATTATAGAAAAATGAGATATAATTGGTTTTGGTTGTATTGATCTTGAAATTTTGAGAGTGAGTATTGATCTTAATAACTTTTTTAGTTTATGTTGTATTGACGTACAGATTAAATGACATTATTTTATTTTATTTTTGTAATGTTGGGATTAGTTGAAACTAATCCCAAAACCAAGGTTTATATTTGGTCTACATACCTCAAAGGTTGTTGTCATTGTAAAAAGACGTAAAAGATTTATGTGTTGTCATATTTAGTTTCTCTTACTCGGTGAATGAGGAATATACCTATCAAGGTTAACATTATGGCATGACGTTTGTCTTTAGATCAACTCCCAATTAAAGCTAATCTAGAGAGTCGTGATTTGGATGTTCCTTCGTTGTAGTGTGTATATGTGAAGTTGGGATAGAGATAGCTAGTCATTTGTTCTTTAATTGCTCATTACCAAATGAGCTCCTTTTCTAGATTTTTAGGTGATGGCTTATGACATCGCATCCCATTGGTTCGTATGCGAACTGGTTGTCGCAATTAACATCTCTATGTTTCTGAAATTGTCAAAAAAATATTTGGAGGGGGTCTTATATATAGTGTAATGCTAGTTTTAGAAAATATATTAATTGGGTAGGGGCTTCAAAGCTGCAACTAGCTGTTATTTCATGTTTTTGTTTACTTTTGGCTAGCTTCTTACTAGTTTACTTTTTTCTGTCAATAAAATTTGCCGTTATAAAAATACAATAACCATAAATGGAACTGATTTAACCGACTTTAGGCAATAACTAAAACCGATTGGTTTGACTTAGATCCCAAAGCAAGTCATGCACACCTATAATCAAAATAAATAGATATAACTTTACTATGTAATTTAGACGTAGTAATTACATGCTTTAAAATTCTAGATAATTTGTGTCTAATGTATGGATATCCAAACAATTCAAACACAATCATGTTTTCCATCACTAGCCAAGTTCGCTGATTTAGACAATGAGCCGTAATGGTTAGATATGTATGTGTTATGCTGTGTGGGGTTGTCTAGACATCGCATATTGAATTTACTCCATATTTTAATTTTTCAAAACATGAATCGTTTTATAGAGTAATTTCCACATTTTAATTGGATCTCTTCTAAGAACACAACTTACAGAATAACATGGCTGAAGGCGTTAGTATGAACGTTGTCAAGCGTTGTTGGTCAAAGTGGCGAACGACAATCTTTCTTGTATCACAAATTTTCGTCATCCTTAAAATGTTGTCTTGCAAGGTCATTCTTGCTTGACTTGAATCTGTGCCATTATGCCATATATGAATGCCTTACATGACGATCTCAATTGGTTTTCTAATATGGTATTTCCTTTGTTCTTTAGTTAATTTAGCACGTCTCTTGTATCATGCTATTTTCTTGTCAAACTACATGTCACACAATTCAAAATGTTGTCAAATTTTCAAGGTTCGTTTTGTAGGCAATATGTTCACAACCGTTGCATTGGTTGTCGATGCTCCCCAAACACAAGATTTTCGCAACGACCCACAGTTAGATATTATTTAAACGAAATGAACAATAAGAGTATGAAATATCAAATATTACAAAAATACCCCACAAGTAGAGGCTCACCATAAAGGAGATTGCACGTTATAAGTAAGCATTATCCATGTGAAAATTAGTAGATTTTGGACCCGGAATATGGATGGGACAGGTAACGGAGTTCAGATCATAGCGTGCTATTATTTTGGAACGACTTGAGCTTACCTATCAATATCTTTTTGTCAAGTTTTTAAATGTTCTTAACTTATATTAATACTAAGATAAGATATTAAGTGTGATTCTAAGAACCGTATGACTATATAACAATGATTTAATTCAATAAAATGATTGATAAGCTCGTAAATATTTAAATATAAATTAAATTACTTTTTGTACAAAATCACTACGACCCAACACTAAGTGAATGACTTTAGGCCGAAAATGATGTTGATAATTACTATAAGACACCGAACATGATGTCGTACTGTTCATTAACACTAATTTGGTGTTACGTTTCCAAAGTAAAAATTGGTTTTGATTTCAACTTCTAACTTATTTATTTTTATATTATTGTTTGTCCGATAATATTCTATAAGTAATATCGTCACTCATGATGATAGATTATACATTACATTGATATTACATATTGTATATTAATAGAACGCATTGTATTGTTCATTAACACTAACTTGGTGTTACGTTTCTAAACTTTTATATTTCAAACTTACTAAAAAAAATTAGTACTTTACAGTACATTTTCTAATAGAACGCATAACTCGCATATACTAAAATACTATTAATCTAATAAAAACACAATCAAAATACATATTACAAGGCTCATAATCTAATAAAAACACACAAATTTCTAAATAGTTTATACACACAAGGGTTTTTTAGAAAATAACAAAAGTTGGAAAAAAAAAAAGGAACTCTTTTTGGTACTAAACATAGCGTAAAGAATAGGAAACAAATTACTGTCTTCACCAAATATTATACAATTGTTATCATTTTGACACAAAAAAAAAAATAGTATAATGGGCCCACATTACATGGCTGGCCTTTCATCCCTACTAGGGTGGTCCAAACCAGCCCACCTAGAGTCAAAAGATTGGGCCCGTACTAGCCCAATAAAGATTGAACGTGGGCCATGGTGAGTATTAAATAACAGTTGTACTTGTACATATAATAAGAAATGAAGATAGTCAATGCTAAGTCAACATATAAAAAGTCAAAAGGAACGTACTTGTTCAAGAAAGCAAAAAGGCACATTATCTTCTAGGCTAAGAAAAACCGGGTTTTGGATGCTAAATGCAAGAAAATAGCAATGTACTTTTATTAATTTGTTTATTATTGCATCCTACTTTCATTTTTTTTTTCTATTACAACATTTTTTTTTCTTATTTGCATATTGTAATTTAAATGAAAGTACAATACTATAACTGGATTTTCAAAGTACAATGTTATAATAGGAAAAGAAGAAAGTAGTATGCTATAATAAACAAAAGTACATTGTTATTTCAATGCATTTAAGTTTAACCCTAAAATAAAAAGGAAAATTATCTATTATTAGTCTATTAGATGCCCTAAAAGTCATGAATCATGCAATTATATTAGTCAATAACATCACTTTCATAAGCCTGCAGGCATAGTTGGTGCATCCAAACTCACCAAATTAATCACATAATCTTTCAAGATTCCTTTTGTTTTTTCAACTTTCTATGAACATTTTTTTTATAAATTCCATAAATTTTCATGATAAAACATACCTTTTATGTTTGTTTTCTTCCGAATATTTAACTATCTTCGTTGATTGCTTCATCTGTCTCGATCTGAAATCCATTTTAAAATAAATCAAAAATAGACAGATGAACAAAAAGTTGATAATTTAAATAGATGACTTACAGAAGTGACATTTGCCCACATCAAATCTTGTACTTCATGCATTAGATTCGGTATGATAATTACATTCTCCGTTTAATAATCAATATATTAAAAACCATCATCCTCATAAACAAATTCACTATAACTAATTCCATATTTAATGCTTGATTTGTTTATTATCTCATTTATTCCTATTACAACATTGTATTATAACAAAATACTATAATATAACAACATTGTACAACGCTTAAATTGGGTCAATTTTTCAAACTACAATTCCTTAACAAGAAGAAAAAAAAATTAAAAGCATAACGTGGTAATAGAAAATAAATGAAAATATGATGCTATAACTGTGTGTGTGTTTAATAGGCAGAGAAATGGATCTGAAAGCAGCAATGAACAAAATTTGAACTTTCTATTGACACATTACAAGGAACTTCCTATTTTTGCCAAATTTATTGCAAATGTACAACATACAAATTGACAACAAGATTTCAACCAAAATCTAAACTTTTTTTTTTTTGCTTTGTTTCTTCAACAAATTTTTGAAACATAAAGATTAGAACCCAACTGACCTCCCGATGGATCAAACACAACCTGCACCACCGAAAACCTTGATCAAACTTGAAGCATTTCTCCTAACTTTTTCATTATCATCATCCAAGAACCTCAAACAAATGTCAAATGCACCTTCCTTCAATGCCTCCATACAAATTACTTCACTACTCAAACAAAGTAAATTCAATGTCATGAGTGCGTATTGAACACCTCTCCAACTCCCATTACGTATAACATGAATCAAACTCTTTACACAACCATTAAACCTGACCATTTCATCTCTCCCTCTTTTACACTTCGCCAATAAACCCAATACTTCAACCGCCCTTTCAAGCCCGGAATTCAATGAAATCACTAAGATTTCCACCGCCCCACATTCCACCGCTCGTCTCCGGTTATCCGGAAAACAACAAAGGGCGTAAAGAGCGGTGGCAGCTTCTTTCCTCTCGCGTCCTCCGCCCTCTCTCAAAAGCGTAACTAACCCTCTAATCGCAAAAGGGTATGCGCCGATTGTTGCTTTATTGACTTCCACCACCGCTAGACTCGTCAACACCGTTGCCGCCGTTGCCCTACAATCTGCAGACTCTCCGCCACATAAAGCAGCAATGATACTACTAATTGCACCCTCTGCCACCAAACCCACCTTGTTGTCATCATCTAAGCTCAAATTCAACAGCAATTTTAAAGCTTTTTCCTGCAAAGTAATATAATTTTTCCTCGAAATACAAGCCAGAACGGCCGCTACAGCTCCTGACTCGGTCAGCCGTTTCCGAAGCTCGAAATCGCGTTTTGAAAGCTGACAGAGCTGTTCAATCGAGACAAGCTTAGCCTCCGGCGACGACGATTTCGAAGTCAAGTTAGAAATTAGGGTTTCCGGGTCTCCTCGGTTTTGATTAGGTTTTGATAAATTGAGGGCGGTGTAGCTGGAGATAAGGCTGCGAAGGGCGTGGTTAGGGATTAAAGAAGGAGGGTCGGAGAGGGGTAATTTGGAGATAGGACAAGTACGGTGGCCTGCGTCAAGCCACCGTTGGATTGAGGAGCGGTCGAAGGTGTGGCCGGAAGAAAGGATGACCGGCTCCGACATTATCTCAAGAGAAATCGGGCATTTGAAGTCGTCTGGGTAGTGGGTGGTGGTGGCGTTTGTTGTTGTTGCCATCGAGAGAAGACTCTTTGTTTCTCTTTCTCTCTCTATATCAATCTCTTTCTAGATAGTATTAGATTTCAATAAATCCATGGAGTTGAAAAAGAGGTTTATGAGGTTTAGCTTCATCTAGTTGTGAGGTGGAGGAACTAAGTTTCACAAATCCCTTTTTTTTTTTTTT